GCATTTCTAAACAAAAGTTACTCTGTGTTTGTCTTTTTAATGCTTTATTCATTATTGACATTTGTAGTTGAGGGATCTGGGGGTTCAGTTTGCTTCGACTTTTTTTTGGTTATTTTTGCTTGTTATGTTAAGCAAAAATCCTGCAATGAAAGGTACTATATTTGCCAGACTCTAGACAGAAGATATTGTACATAAAGAGAATTTTTTTGCCTTTAAATAGATAAAAGTATCTATCAGATTTAATCAGGTTGTAAGTTATATTGAAGACAATTTGATACATAATAAAAGATTATAACAATGTCTAGGACTGCTTGCTTGGGGATATTGCTTTCCTTTTTTTGTTTTGTTTGTTTGTTTGTTTGTTTGTTTGTTTTGAGACAAGGTTTCTCTGTGGCTTTGGAGCCTGTCCTGGAACTAGCTCTGTAGACCAGGCTGGTCTCGAACTCACAGAAATCCACCTGCCTCTGCCTCCCAAGTGCTGGGATTAAAGGCGTGCACCACCACCACCCAGCCGGATATTGCTTTCTTTAAATTGGGTTTTTTGTTTGTTTGTTTTTTAATTCCTAGTCCTTGGCTGGGCAGTGGTGACACGTGTAGGAAGCAGAGGCAGGCAGATCTCTGTGAGTTTGAGGCCAGCCTGGTCTACAAAGCAAGTTCCAGGACAGCCAAGGCTACAGAGAGAAAGCCTGTCTTTAAAGATAGATGATAGATAGATAGATAGATAGATAGATAGATAGATAGATAGATGATAGATAGATAGATAGATAGATAGATAGATAGATAGATAGATAGATAGATAGTCATGCCTTCCATGTGCTGACCCCGCCCTTGTGCTCCACCACACCTGTCTCTTCCAGCAGCCCTTGTATTCTACCGGCACTAAATTAGAAGTAGATTGGAAGGTAGGTCTCCTCACCTACTAGTGAAGAAAGTGGGGTATGATTGAGAGATTTTGATCTGCTGTGACATCATTTTGGTTTGAGTCCACACTAAGATGCTCAGCAATGTGTGGTGTCTTAGGGTCTCATGAGTCTTTGCTGTTCTCGCCATTTGGCCTTCAGCACCAAACCTTGGTAGTTGGGCATAGCCAGTGCTCGATATTCTTATCCTTTAATTGGTTGAATGGCTACATCCATCATGATTTAGCCAAAGGAACAGAACCACTCTAAGATACATACATGTATGACTTCACAGAAATCTGTCCCTGGAGCTAGTCCAGTAGACTGACGGGTAAATGGATGGCAACGGGGAGAACCAGCTGGTACCCAGTGACAGGCAACTGCGGCAGTTCTCACCTCTGACACTGGGGAGAGTCCTGCCTGGGCTGGGCCCTCTGCAAGAGAGCTGAGCAAGCTGATCGCTGGACGGAGGGTGGGGGCTGAATGTAGGCCCCAAGGAACCAGCTACTTCATTTCTCTCAACCAGAAATACCAGGAGGGGGAATTCTTGGAGGTGTCCTTCAGCATAAACAGATGGAGAGAGAGAAATTGCAGAGCCCCACAGCATAGACAGTGACCCCCAGCTCACACCATGTGGAGAGAGCAGCACTGGGGGGATAGGGGGTGAGGAACAGAGCAGAGCGGGGTATAGAACAGAAGCATGGCGAACATATTCATTAACATTCTTTTTAAATTTGAAAAAAAAAGAAAAGTAGTAGCTAGAGAGATGGCTCAATAGTAAAGAGCACTGGCTGCCTTCAAAAGAACCCAGATTCAAGTCCCAGCCCCACATGACTGTCCACAACCACCTAAACTTCCCCATGATACAACGCCCCTCTTCTGGGCACCAGGCATGCGTGTGGCGCACAGGCATACTAGCAAACAAAATGCCAATACAGTTATTAAAAATGTGTCATATGGGGATGCATACCTACAGTCTCCGCACTCGGGAAGCTGAGGCAGAATTGATAGTTTCAGACCAGCGTGGGCTACATAGCAAGGCCCTGCATCAAAACAAGAGAGGCTCAAACTATTCCTGAATGCTATACATGTTCATAGCAACAGATGACAACATCAGAATATTGTCTGGAAAAGGCAGAGAAGGGCCTCTTGAGTTTGAGGCCAGCCAACCAGGGCTACAGAGAGACTCTAACCTCAAAAGAGGGGCTGGGCTGTAGTTTAGTTGGTATAGTGCTTGTCTGACATACAGAAGGCTCTGGATTCAATCTCCAGCACTGCATAAAACCAAGTGGGGTAGACAGCACCCGGGAAGTAGAGGCAAGAAGGGCACGCACTGAAGGTCATCTTCAGCTACCAATGAGTTTGGGACCAGCCTGGGATGCTTGAGAGAGAGAGAGAGGCAAGTGTTACCCAGTGTGACCCAGCAAGGTGAATGTGCCTGGAAGACACTCCAGTAAGTGAAAGAAGCCAGGCAGACGCGAGGGCAGGCATCTAATTACATGAAGTACCTGAAATAGTTAAAGTTGGAGACAGAAAGTAGAACAGAGGGGACAGGCAATAACTAGAGGATTTTTTAAATTTTTTATTGTATATGCTTATTTAGTCAGGGAAGTGGGGGTTCATACCACAGCTCATGCATGTGTGGAGGTCAAAGGAAAACGTGAGAGTTCTCTTCCACCCTGTGGGCTCCAGGGGTTGAATCCAAGTCCTCAGGCTCAGTCAGTGACTTAAAGCGCCTTTAACCCATTTAGCCACCCATCATCCAGCTTGCTGGCTCTGGAGTTACCCTTTAATGAGTCTGGAGATTCTGTCTGGGTTAATGAAGTTTGGGGGTTGTGTAAAGAAATGAAGGGCTCGTGTGTTGTGTAGTTTTCAATGGTGGAAGTGGCATGCTGTACGTTGGGTGTATTTTGCTAGGGAAGCAAAAGGGTAAATCAAGTCAGCTTTCTCAGATCCCACAATCCCACTGTGGCCCCTGGACCCCTTCTCCAGGCAGCTGGAGAAGACAGCCAGTATGGCGCTGGTTGTGGAAACAGATCAACCATTAGTTTCGTGACTGTTACGGAGTGGGTCTGAGGAAAACGGAGAAGTTAGATGGCAGCCTTGTCCATATAAGGACTTCTCATGGAAGCTGGTCTCTTCGCCCCCTCACTGTGCAGGCCCAAGTGACTGGGGGTGTCCACCCCACCCACCTTCAGCCTCCATGCTGGCTTCATGAGTCCCGAGCAGATAATGCAATTGTCCCCACTCAAGTCTTGGCCATCAGACCCCTGGAAAACTAATTCAATTGCTTTCCTTTTAAATTGGATTTTCCCAAACCATCTGCTTCCCTTATGGAAATACAGGCAAGGTCAGTCCTCCTGCCATAGAACCTCCCCTCTGCAAAGCCCCTGAGCCAGGCCTGCCTTGCTGGCCAGGCAAGACCTTTGAGGACTCCTTCCTCACAGGGGCAGGGTATGTTGTTCTAACAACCTCTACCTACCGGGGACAGTTACTAGCACCCACAGGCCTCAGCCTGACTTGAGCATACGGACTCACCAGACCATAGCACTCAGGCAAAGCCCAGGAAGGCATCGCTCTGGTGGCAGTAACAGCGGCCCTGGACGTGGATCCGTGTCCAGTCCATTATCTCTGACATGTCACCTGTCTGGAGACACCCAGGACAGTAGCTAGAATAAGCATTTACAGGGCTAAGCTGTGACTCGGTGGTAGAGGGCTTGAATAGTATGAGTGAGGCCATGGATTCGATCCCTGGTACTGAGAAAAAACTCATGAGCATTTCTGGGTATACCATGTGTGGGCGTATGAACTGTGTGTGAACGGTGGCACCATGGCAGCCGCAACGCATCAAGGCCCAACAGGTGTGATATTCCAGGACTCAAGCGTCACTCTTGAGCAGGTTACACAGCCCTTGAAGACTCCTGGGAGTGTGGGAGGCAGTGGTTTGCCAGAACTTCCGCAAGGATGAGTCTCGGCCTCTGACGTGTGATGGGAAAGCCTATTCTGTTTTTTGTTTCTTGGGTTTTGGGGGTGGTAGTGGTTTTGTTTGTTTGTTTGTTTGTTTGTTTGTTTGTTTTTTGAGATGGCGTCTCAATATCTAGCCCAGTCTGCCCTTGAACTCACAACCCTGCCTCAGCTTCCTGTGCTGGATCACAAGCATCACCGCAGAGCCAGGTGAGACTATGGCTTTGATGAGGACTGCTGTCACATTTGAAGAATATGCTAAGCCAGAGGACCTTGGTACCCACCTCTAATCTCAGCACTTGAGAGGCAGAGGCAGGAAGAGCAAGGAAGTTAGCTTTGTGCTAGGGAAGAAATTAAAGGTAAGCCTGGGCTACAGCCCTGTTTTAAAAATAAACAAAGAAGCCAGGTATACTGATGCACGGCTTTAATCCCAGCGCTCAGGAGGCAAAGGCAGGTGGAGGATCTCTGAGTTTAAGTTCTGTGATAGCCAGGGTTACCCTGTCTCAAAGAAACAAAATAAATAAAATAGTATCCTGAAGGCATTTCAAAGTAAGGAGAAGGTATCCTTGCCTTAAAGCTGGGAGAGGGACACACACACACACACACACACCACACACACACACACACACACAGCTGCACAGGAGCAGTGGTGACCGCATGGAGCAGCTCTCCTGCTCTACCTAAGAGAATGAGGAGAAGGGAGATGGTGAAATAAACAAAATGAAAAATACGGGACTCCCCTGACTGTCTGTGGAGCAAGCTTGTGGCACCAAAAGAGGCAGGAGGAGGCTGGACAATTGTCTCGTTGAGAACACTGCGGCTCTTTCAGAGGACCCTCGCTCAGTTCCCAGACTCCCAAATACCTATAACTCCGGCTCCCTCACACCGGGAGCATACACATAAATAAAAATAAATCTCTAAAAAAAAATGTTTTTAAGGCAGGAGAACTTCCAGTCTTTCCCCAAAAGCCCAGCCCTAGCTAGACCTGGAAAAACCCAGCCAGTGACCACACCCTCTGCCTCAGAGGCTCTCGTTTCCTTCTAGGACAACTTGAAGTACCCACCAACTGCTGCACCCCACATCCTCCTGGCAATGCCCAGGCAACAGAGGGCACAGTGATAGGGCAGACCGGGAGTGATTCGGGCCACCTGCTGGGCTGAAGGTGAAGGCAAGTGCTGAGCGAGGGTCGCCTCTCCTGGGAGCCTCTGGCTGATGGGAGCAAAGATTAATCATCTTCTCCTTGCGCGGTTCGGCCACGGTATGTAGTATAATTTATATCTCCTTTCAATTGTAGTTGATTGGAAATTGTTAAATGGCCAGAGGAGAACCATGGTCTAGCCGGGGAAACAAAATATCAAATAGATAATTCATCAGGATAAATTGAATCTGGGAAATTGGTTAAGTCCTGGCAGACCGAGGGATCTCTTGGAGAACAAGGCACAGCTGCCAGCCCTGTGGCAGGGACCCCGCAGGGCAGGAAAGCCTGGAGGAAAGGTGTGTCCCTACAGCCATGGGCTCCTTTAGGGGGACTCAGAGAGGCTAATTCTCAGACTGTTGGAGTCCACACGTATTATTAGCCATCACACTTCTCTGAACCCTAGCTGGTGATTTCTAGAACCTTCCCTGAGGGCTTTAATAACCAACAAACATAAGGGGAAATGCTCGATATCATTAGGCAGGAGGAATTACATATCAAAACTACAATTCCCCATAGAATGGCTACGCTGACGGGAACCCTTATACACTGCTCTTTAGAAGGTAAGCTAGTCCGGCCACTAAGGAAATCAGCACTCCTCTTCAAAACAATAAAAATAGAACTACCATGTGATCCCGTCCTACCCCTGGCTATCTACCTGAAGGAATGTAGGCTGCCTCCCACAGAGATACTTGCACATCTGTTCATCACAGCACCATTCAAAACAGTCGGCAAGCAGATTCAGCCCAGATGTCCATCAACCAGAGAGAGGATAAAGAAACTGGGGTCTGCTCGCTCTGAGGAGTATTATTCGCTCCTGAAGAGGAACGAGACCAGCCGTCTGTCGCACAACGGAAGCAGAGGACATGATGTTGGATGAACGAGCCCAGAGTCAGAGAAGCAAGTCTCACGTGTTTCGTCTCACGTGTGGAAACTGAAGATTACTGTGATTGCAGGGATAGGGGAAGGTTGGGAATGGAGTGTGAGAGACTTCTGATGAGACCCTACACGCTGTGTTGGTAGGTCTAGCACACGAACCACGTTAGTGTGTTCAGTTAAGAGATGTGTAAATATGTGTTAATAAGAACAATAGATGCAGTTAAGTGAGCAAACAAGGAAAGGAAAGCTGTGCCCAGCTCCCTTCCCTAAGGCTGTCCCTGCCCAGCACGGGGACAGCAGCCATTGCTTCAACTATAATCAGAGGCTTTGACAAAGGTACCTGTGACAAAGGTGACTTTGAACAAAGAAATTCTGTACTCGAGACTATATTGTGCTACCCAAAATTGCCAAGAGACTTCACCCAGAAGTGACTGCAGAAATCTGAGACCGGCTCATGTGAATCCTGGGCAAGAAAACGTGGGCCCAGCTGATTTGGCCTACTGTATACCAGTGAAAAGTGCCGGGCACAGACACAGGATAATGGGGCTGTGGCTGAAGACGGGTTCTTTGGTTCATTATCCTTGTTTTGTGTGTGCTTGATCTTTAGGGTTTTGGTGTGTGTGTGTGTGTGTGTGTGTGTGTGTGTGTGTGTGTGTGCGCGCGCGCGCGCGCGCCTGTGTAAGGGTACACACACGAGAGTGCAGGTGCTCAGAGACAGTGGATTCCCTGCAGCCGAAGCTATAGGCAATTGTAAGCCACCCAATGTGGGTGCTGAGAACCACACCCAGGTTCTCTGGAAGAACAGTGAGTGCTCTTCACTGCTGAGACATCTTTCCAACCCTCTGTATTCTGTTTTCCAGCTCTGGCTGTGCTGGAACTCAGTCTGACTGGTCTAGAACTCAGTATGTTAAGACCAAGCTGGCTTCAAATATGCATTGATCCTACTGCCTCCGGCTCCTGAGTGTTATGATTCCAGGCAGACACCACCATGCCCAGCCTGGGATCTCAGGTCCTGAGCCCTCCTGCAATGTAATATAAATCGATTGCTCAGCATGTACAAGACCCTAGATTCAGTCCCCAGAACTAGGAGGAGAAGGGGTTAGACCACAAACACACAGACACACTACACACACACTTCCCTGAAAGATTACAAAGTCCTCAGGCTCCAAGGAGCTAAAAGCAGGACTGTCTAAAGCCACTAGGCCCTCATTGTGGGTTCCTCCACAGAGCTCAGTCAGGGCCTGGAATTCCCCACTCTGTGGGCAGGGCTGTCCCTGCCTCAGCTTCCCAGTAACAGAGATCTGCAGATGCTGGGCCACTCCCCACAGCTGCCCTGAGCTAACATACCCAAACCCAGAGGATGAAAGCAAACTACGGGCCCTTTCATTAACAAGATAAGATTGACATTTCCTGGAATGAACCAACGCGGCTTGCTGACTGGGTTTATGACGCTTCCTTCCCCTACTCCTCAACCCCAAAGGGATAATCCTTATCTTCTACCCCGAGTATGGGATCCAATGGATTCGTCCTGAATCCTAGGTGCTTCACCCATGAGAAATAGCCCAGTTCACATCACAGGTCCTAACTATGAGGAACTGAGGGCAGAGGCAGGTTGACGCAAGTTCCAGGTCCTTTTTTTATTGTGTTTATATACCTCTCCACCTTGAGTGCAGACCCCAGTGGGCTCTCCTCTAGATCAACGTGTAGCCTTAATGCCAGCTGTGCACACCACCCGCTGAAAGCCCCTCCCCCCTTACAAAGCTGGAGAGATAGCTCAGTCACTAAAGTGCCTGCTGCATAGCATGAGGACATGACTCCAAATCTTTAGCACCCGCGTCAAAAGCCTGGCACAGCAGTGTACACATCTGGAACCCCAGCAGTGCTGGGAGGGTGAAGAGAAGAGGATCCAACAGTTCATTGGCCAGCCAGCCTAGCCAATCAGTGAGCTCCAGGTTCAGGAAGAGACCGTGTTTCAAAAGGCAAGATGAAACTGGGCAGTGGTGGCACACGCCTTTAATCCCAGCACTCAGGAGGCAGAGGCAGGCGGATCTCTGTGAGTTTGAGGCCAGCCTGGTCTACAGAGCTAGTTCCAGGACAGGCTCCAAAGCTACAGAGAAACCCTGTCTCGAAAAACCAAAAAGGGAAAGGCAAGATGGAGAGTGGTTAAGGAAGACAATTGAAGTCAGCCTCTGGCCTCCCACATGCCTGCGCACATACATACACTTCTCTCTTCCCCCCTCTCTCTCCTACACACGCGCTCACGCACGCGCGCACACGTCCTTGGCCATCACCGCCTTAAAAACCCAGCTTAGACCATCATAACCCACCACAGAGCTGATGACAGAGACACCCCTCCCCCAGCTGATAGGTCCCTCAACTGATGATACCTCTCTTGGGTGGGCAACCATCACACAGGAAGTGGCTTCATGCATGAGGGACAATGCAACTGCCTTTGGCCAGTGGACTAAAAGCAGAAGTGACGAGTGCCATTAGCCGCACAGAGGACTGAGGAAGGAGCTTCGTGCCTTCCCTATCCACTGGCTCAACAGAGACAGTTCGAGGATGTGGAAGATGGGCCAATGTATCCCGGGCCTGGAATGGCCTCCCAACTCCTGCTGGCAAGACTGCATGAACAATGATGCATCCAGGAACATTTTACTTTGTATTTACCACAAACTGACTAAGCTGTCTGCTTCTCTGTTCCAGCAGCCAGCCTGGCTCTGTCCCCTTTCCTTTGTCCACTTTCCCCTCCAGTACTTACTAGCAGAGAAGCTCAAAGCCAGAGAAGGCACATGTGAGTGCATGTGTACGTGTGTGTGTGTGTGTGTGCGCGTGTGTGTGTGTGTGCGTACATACATGTGTATGTCCATAGTTGTGCACGTGGATCTACAGGCGTGCATGCTTACAGATGTGGAGGTCATAAATCAACGTTGGGTATCATTTCCCAGGAAGCCATCCTTCTGAGTGGATCTGACTGGCTGTGCAGCAAGCACAGCAATCTGTCTGTCCCTGCTTTGCTCCCTCTGGGATTTCCAGCACACACCACCAAGCCAAGCTTTTTCACTTGGGTTCCAAATTCAGGCTCTCATAGTCTCACAAGTCAAGTCAAAGATTTTTATGCAATGAGGAAATTGTATCACAGACAGGAAGTTCAAAGTCAGGGTGTCCTGTAACTGAGTGCCAGTAGATTGGTTTTTGCTCTTGAATTTGTCCCGTTGTGGTGACATGGTAGCTATAGCAACTCAAGGCCTCATCCTCTCCCACAAGATGCATTTAAAGACTGGAAGAGAAAAATATCCCTATGTTGTTACATTATGTTCTCTCTCTCTCTCTCTCAGTGTGTGCTTATCGTTTGAGGTTTTACTTTTTATTTTGTTTTGTTTGGCAGGGGTAGTGGTGGTAGTGTAAAACATGATCTCACTATGTAGCCCAAGCGGATTTCAAACGGTTCTGCCGCCTTGACCTCCCCGAGTGCTGAGATTACAGGTGTCACTCCCCATATGTAGCACTTTTAAAATATGTAAATTACTCCCAGAAGTCTCTCGGAAGACTTCCTGTCACATCTCCTTGCCTTGGTCAGAACTGGCCACATGGCTGTTCTTAATGACAAACTGAGTGGAGCAGGAGTAAAGTAACTGGATTAGATAGGCCCAGGCCTGAAGCTCTGACTTCAGCCGAGGCATGTGGCCTGTGGGCACCTGCAGCCAGACAGGACATGGCAACTGGACAGGGCCTTGTCTGTAGGCCAGATTTACCAGTCCGCTATTGTTCTCTTACATTCTCAGCCTGGGAAAGATATAGAAGCAAAGCAAGAAATCTGTATTCAAGAATTGGTAGCAATTGGCTGGGAAGTTGTCTCAGGGGCTAAATAGTTTGCCATGTCAACATGAGGACTGGAGTTTGGCTTCACAGAACCCAAGTCAAAGCTGGGCAGGCATAGCAGCCCACGTCTAATCCCAGCACTGGAGTGGAGAAGGAACCCTGAGACAAGTTGGTTATCTGGACGAATAGAATCCACAAAGCCAGGCTCAACAGGAGACCCAGAGCTCAGGAAATAAAGGAGAGTGATTGCGGTAGATAGACATCTGACAGCCTCAGGTTTATAAACATACACTCGCACATATGTGCCCACAACATGCCAACATGAATACATACATTCACACATAGGCACATAAAACAAGAAG